ACCTCACCTGTGCAGTATAAGTTGAAACTATGGGGTTTTCCCTCTATGCTTCTTTTGGTTACAAGATGGACATTTTTTCATCACACAGAAAGAAATCTGTATTTATATCCGCTGTGGATAGTCAGGTTAGTAATTTAAAATTAGTCAGTTGTCATCATCATAGTTATTTTTTTTGACACTGTCTAGGTCAACATAGGATAAGTATGTTATTGCATATTACAAAATATTTGGGGCATACATGTACTATATTGTCAGAAGTATTAAACCTCTAAGCAATCTTCAGGTAACAAAATCTAAATATAATGACCTAGCTTCAGAAATAGAACTCTATGTTTACTGACTTGATTTTGATATTATGAAATATGTTGTTTTCCATTCAAAAATTGTATTATTAGGAAATTCACCCCATTTTTCAGTTACATTCAATGATTCTCATAAATTTTCTAGAGTCCATCTGTAATATTACATTTCAAACACAAATTACACATAGTTGGGCAGTTCCTTTTGGTTCTTGGTCTCCTGGGGTTTACCTTCTGGTTGGCCTCCTTGGGAGAAAGGCAGAGATACCAGATTGCTGCCTTTGTGAGCCATGGTATCAGGTTCTCTTACCTCAAAAACAGCCTCAGCTTTGGGCACAACCTAGGTGATTGACATGGAGCTAGACTTTATGTGATGCTCACAAGCTTGGGTGTATATTGATTTTTTCTTGATTTTCCATAACTTTATGGCTTAACTATAAAAAGTTCAGCTTAGAACAAAATGCATTTCACAAGCCATATTTATGCTTTAATGTAATGCAGTGAGAACTGAAAAGTGTGCAGAAAAAGGGGGCTTTTCCTACTGTGCCTCATGTTTGACACACATATGTTCTCATCTGTTTTGTGTGTTAGGTACGTATACAATGATTAAATGAAGATAATGAGATGTAAGGTGCTTTGATAAGTGTGTAGCAAAGAGCAAGTGCTCAAAAGCAGCCGTGTTTTTGTTATTAGTGGTTCTGGAGGTGGTTAATTGCCTTGTATTTTTAATACAAAGGGATTGTAGAAGACCTCTGATACTCATAAATCCTTTCAGAAAGAACAGGCCTGAAATTCTATCTGCATGGCTCCTTGTTCTCCAGAAATACCATCATGCCTGGGATGGTGCCTTCTGGAAATCTCATCTTTGCTGTCACCACAGCCCTGTCCCAATTCTAGGTGGTCCTATCTTGAGAATTCCTTCCATGCCTATAATTGCAAATAGTTTGTGGCACCTAATTTGACTTAATTTTATTTGTGTATATTTTGGTTTCCATTTTTTCTTTCACGTTTTTTCAACTAATACATTACTTATTGAGCATTTACCATATGTCAGTCCCTTGGGCATTCAGTATTGACTCAGACAACAAGGGACCTGCTTATCCTTAGGGAGCTAGATTGTAAATCTCTGACGATCAGGATCTTCTACTCTTTTTATCACCCAGGCTCTGGAATGAAATAAGTTGCTTTAGTTGTTATACTTACATTACTCTTGTTTGTTCCCATGTTGCCTGAGAAACTGTGAGGTTCCTGGGAGGGAAGAAGGTGGATTCAGGGGCTCCGTTGCACATAGTGGTGACGTGTGCAAGAGACCTGTGATTCATTCAGGCTCAATGCTCAGCCACACCCTTTGTCTGCTGAGAAACTATAACTTCATCAATTAAAGTCTCTGGTATGCTAACCAGTTTATATATATATATAAAAAGCATATATATATGCTTAAAAAGTAAACCTGTAAAGCACTCAAGTATTGGGTCTTTTTGTATGGATTTAAATATAGAAGCAGTAATTTTTTATATAGTAAATGGGATTGTTTTTTCAGTTTCTCTCTTGGTTTTTTTTTAGATTTTTTTTTTATTTTTAGAGAAAGGGGAAGAGAGGGTGAGAAATATCAATGTGTGAGAGTTACATGGATTGGTTGCCTCTTATACTACCCCACCTGCGGACCTGGCCCGCAATCCAGGCATGTGCCCCGACTAGGAATTGAACCTGTGACCTTTCGTTTCACAGGCTGGCATTCAATCCACTAAGCCACACCAGCCAGGATAGAAGCAATAATTTTTTAAGGAACTCTTGAAGTGATTACTTTTTCAGGGAAAAGGATAAAATTCTTGCTTCATTTTTTGCCACAGTTTATTCTGAAAAGTGAACTGATTCTTTTCAAAGCATTGGAAATAGTAAGTTTTATTGAGATTTACTTTCCTTGAGCAATATTAAATAACCTTATTGAAATTTGAGGTTCTTCCCATTCCCTTCTATTTTGATAAGCCATCTCCTGGGTTACCCTCCCCATATATCATTCCCGCATCACTACTGTTACCACTTCTCATGTGATTTGTGCCTTTTGAAAATGTGGTCTAGAACGTGGAGATTTGGGTAGCATACCAGCCAATGTCATTATAAATTCTTGACCCCACCCATCAGCACTGGTAAAAGCTATAACTCAGAGTCGGTGAGTGAAGAGAGAGTCACGAGGAGTTACTTACATGGGTGGGAGGAAACCTGATGAGTCTTCAGTTAAACAGGAATAAAATTTATCTCATGAAAAAACAGGATCCTAGGAGCATTTTGAATGGAGAAAGAGCTTAGTGAGCCAAACTTTTGACATAGGGTATGATGTCAGAGTGTTCTAAGATATGAAGAGATGATATACAGTTTGTGTGTGTGGTGGGGTGGGGGTGGAGGTGGATCTGATGCATTAAAAAAAAATAATTGACTGGAAGAACAAGAAAATATGTCCCTCTGGCTGCTAAGGATCCTGATATCTAAAGCATGGGCAAGCCCCCTGTGGTCCATGTAAAAGTTAATGAGTGTAAAGATCAGAACTTTGAGAGGAGGCAGGTACAGGCATCCGGGCTGCAGACCTTGGTTGTGATTTAGGAATACTTCTAACAACATCTTACATGTGGAGATTGCTCTGTGCCAGCTACTAAAAGAGGAGATATAAGGTAGAAAATATTTGGATTGGAGTGAGAACCCAAGCAGGAATTGGCTTCTGGTTCTTGGATGCAGTGAAGATTTTCTTAAGAAGGTTAAGGAATAAAACTGAAAAAAAAGGACGTGTCAGGCAGGTGAGTGAGGTCATGCTCACCGTATATCATTTGTACTGACTGCTAGGCATCCTGCCCCCACTGCTTAACCAGAGAGACACATCAGAATCACTGTGGGGGGCTGCGGTAAAGGCTGAAAAGCCTCGTCCACAGACATCCTAATTCAGTCCTCCAGTACCTCCACCGGAACTCAGAGTTTCTGTTTTATTCACAAAGCAAATGGAATTACTTAGAGAGACTACCTGACACTCAGGAGGTGGAGGGAATACCCAAGGAGTCCTGCTGCTTCCAGTAGTTGAATTTCCCCAGAAAACTGTAGAAATGGTCAAGAAGGTCAGAGACAGATTCTTATGACTCTTACTAAGTGGTGGTCCTCATTTGTTAAAAGTTGTAGAGAAATTCAAGTATGCATACATGTTTGTATGAAATTCATCATTGTTATAAAAAAAGCCATTTTGAAATTTTGTTAGGTGATTTTTGTCCTTTCTTCATCCTTCCCTCCCTCCTCCCCTCTCTCCCTCCAGTCCTTCCTTTCATTCTTTTTCTTTTTGTTAATGAATAAATGTCATATGCCCTGGCTTAAAAAGCTCAGTAAAAAAGTGGGAAGGGATACTACCCTCTCTTTGGGATTGTAAAACAGTGTCCCAAGGAAGCTGACAAACCGCTGTCTGCAACATGCATTTTTCCTGCTGTGAAGAGTATTCTGTAGTATAATTTCTGTTATGTTCTGTGATGCCTCATAACCAGCCTCATGCCATTTTCAGAAAATTAATACCATTCATGAGCATAAATCATAACCTGTTTTCATGGTATGTATTTGAAATCGGGGGTGCCTCATCATCCTGGCTTTCTCTTGGTGAATTACAACCCATTAATTGTCATGGCTGGTGGGCTTCCCGATTAAATAAAGGGTTGGATTGGAAGGATTCGGGCATGTTGCTTTGTTCTCAGGCTTTAATATTTTAATGAGCTTGAAGGCTTGGCTGCTTACAGAGGAAAGAGCTGGGATTTCTAAGTGTTAGCATTTGTAGAAGGATGTTCATTAGAAAGCTCTTGTTTCAGTTTCTCAGAGAAATTCCCCATTAAGAAAGATCTTTCAGCAGCATGGCTAGCAAGGAGGAGGAAGGGGAGGGTGAAAGCTTTTAGCTGTAAGCATTAAGGGGATATTGTATCAGTTGTCATAGTTCTAAAGATTTGCTTCTAAGAATTAATTGGAGCAAATACATCTCAAGGGAAGGGGAAAAGGGTGGGTGGAGCAAGGACAGTAGTTGCTGCCCTTGCCAGTCAGGGACTCTTCATCTTGCAGCTGAATCAGTACTACAACTAATTATTTCTAGTTATCTTTTATGGGTTTGTAAGACATTTCTTTTGTTCAGTGTAATAAAAAACCCATTGTTTGATCAGTGACTGACTAATTATGATAAGTAATTTGAAACATTCTTGATGAAACTTGTCTGTTAATTAACATCAACAGCCAATGGAAACTAACAAGACAACAAAGTATTAGTGCAACCACTGTTCTCTGGCACCAGTGCCATCTCTCTGTGGCATGCCCAATAAACGAAGGCTGCCAATGGTTAAAAAATAACAAACAGGTGGGAAGGTCTGACTCACCAGGAGGCAAAGTTATTATGAAGTTACACAAAGGAGCCCTGAACTGTTCTAAGCGAGGGGATAGTGAAGAAATGTCAGCAGGTTGACTGGTCTTACTGCATAGGGTAAGGAGAGCAGTTCTTTCTTCTTTCTTTTCTTTAAGGTTTAATTCCAAAAAGCATTCATCCCTTGCTGATCTGAACTAAGATATTTTGGTATATAAAAGTGTGGATTTATCAAATTATAGTTTGGAATTACTGATGTCATCTGGCTGTATTGTGATTATTAATACTGTCAACTTTTATCAACTCAGTGTTGTTTTTTTTTTTAATGCTTTTAGGTTTCTACCTGGACAAGGACTGGTACTATACCCACAGATAGGAGACAAATTGGATATTATTTGCCCCAAAGTGGACTCTAAAACTGTTGGCCAGTATGAATATTATAAAGTTTATATGGTTGATAAAGACCAAGCAGACAGATGCACTATTAAGAAGGAAAACACGCCTCTCCTCAACTGTGCCAGACCAGACCAAGATGTAAAATTCACTATCAAGTTTCAGGAGTTCAGCCCTAACCTCTGGGGTCTAGAATTTCAGAAGAACAAAGATTATTACATTATATGTAAGTATAATTCTATTTATTTATTTTACAGAAATTAGGGTAAGCTAAATAGGTTTGTATCAATTTTTGTTTCCTTAAAATTATTATTGTGGCAAACATTTGGTGTATCTTTGAAAATTGCCTATTTTTTTTAAGAAACCTTAATTGAATGTGGGACCCTGTACTAATACTACTCATTAAATATAAATACCTAAAGAGAAAAAAATCTCCTAGAGTTTTTATAGTATTGAAATAAATGTGCATGTATATATACACACACACTCAGCATCTCTACTGACAAGACTATTTTTAAGAACCATTGGTGAAATTTAATGGGTAAATCTTGTACTGTGACTTCTCTCTTCATCCATTCATCCATCTGTCATTCACTCATTCATTTAGTATTTACTCTATGCCAGAAACTGTGCCTAAGCATTAGGGATTTGACAGTAACAAGATAGTATAATGTATCCTTTCCTCATGAAGGCATTGGAGAGATGGAGCTCATAGATTTGGAGGATGGACATTACATGCAAACCACAATTATACATGAGTATAGTCAAATTTGAAGAACATGACAAAACTTGGGGTTGTTCAACCAATTACTTTTAAAAAATCTATCAGTGATTTGATACATTGCTTCACAAACAGACACTATGTATCCTTTGAGTTATATCTGAACTGCTGTCCACTTAGGAGGCTGTGTAGTCACCCCCTGGAGCACATGCCAACTAAGTGCAAATCACATGCTAGCAGAACACCATGGGTAGTCCAGGGCCAGGGTTTTGTCACTGCAGTGAGACAGTGACTGTAGTGACTGAGACCGCTGTTTGCATCACTGAGGCAAAGAAGTAATTTTTCTTCATTTCTTGGTTTAAAATTTTGCACATTGCTGAGTTAGAGTCTCCACTTATCTGCTACCACAGACTTCAGTTCCTTAGGGAACAGTGAACTGCTTGTCCATGGGCTGCACCCACCCATCTCTTGGTGACCAGGTTAAAACTCTGCTTTCTCAACCTACTAACTGCTCTTTTTTAAGCTCAGAATCAATAATTCACTGAATAGTGATTTAGTGCTCAATAACATACTATTTTTTACTACATTAGTAATTGAAACAAAAGTGGTCATAGCCGTTTAATTATCTTGTTCTTTGCTACAAACCTGAAATGCCACAGAGACTGAGAATCTATTTTTAAATCAGTTTGATACACAGAGAGTGGCTGAGCAAGAATAAGTAACAAAGAAAAAGGGAGAGTGTTAAATTATATAGTTAAAGAATAATTATAAAATGAAAATGAAAGCATTCTGAGGGATGAGACAAGTAGATGAAGTAGCAAAGTATATAAAATAACAGAAATCTTTAAAAATACATTATAGTTATTAGGCAAAATAAATGGAAACCTTAAACTTTTGGAAGCGTGGCAGTGTTTTTCAAAAGACATTTTAAGTAAGACTGTTTACCAGGGACACTAATATTTAGCATGCCATTTATTGGGAAATAAAAGTGACCTCAGTAAGAAGGTTAATTCCCCCGTAGGATGGAAGATATAAAGAACATGGGGTGGGGTACCTGAAAAGCAAAAGCAGATGCCCCAGAGTATCAGATGTTCCTATGGTGTTAAATGGTATGTCACTAGAACTGTACCTGCACCCCAAATCCAACAATTGGTTCTTCTGTGCTGATCAGCTAACAGACCCAGATTCTCCTCTGCGTACTTTAGTTTATGACTTTATAAGGACGGCTTTGTAAATTCTGTAAATTCCCACTGAGTACAAGTAGGATTTCAGCAGACATTATGGGGTTAGCCTTTAGTCTGAAGTAATATGCAGGAAATGCAAATAAACACATTCTTTAGCAACATCTTTTTGTTTAATGTAGCCAACATTTAATAATGAATGACTTATTATCAACACATGATAGGTTTGTATTTAGAAGCACGGTTTAATTTGTAATTCATTATGATAGTAGTCTACACAATAATGACATCTCTTATTTTTCTTTTCCTGAAAACTCATATTAGGTTCATTAGCAGGTAGTTGAGCTCTTGATGGCCCTACAGAACTCTCCTTAGAGTTATAATTTACAGTACAAAGGCATGTGGTAGCCAGGGATAAAAGAATTGTTGTTAAAATAAGAGTTGAGGGTTTCAAGTTTGAAACAATGAGAGGCTATTTGAATGCTGCTGGTTGGGTGATTGTCACAGGGCTGGGTAAAGGGCCCAAAGCGCAGAAGTGTGCAAGGAAGTCCATGCAGACTCTCCACAGTGAGTTAAAGACTTCCACCGGGTCACAGACATAGGAAGATGTTTCACAAGTTGGGAAAATGCAGAAGCCAATTTCTCACCCGGCCTACAGGAAAGCTCATTGATATACAGCTTTCCCTGGTAAGGAAATGAATGGTTTAAAATAGTTTAAAAAGTTACTGTTGACTTTCTTTGCTTCTTTGCTTCTTCAAGAATCCCAAGGCACCAAAACAGTTAAGAGATTTTAAGAAGTGACTATTTTCCACATCAATCTTTCTCTCCCTTGTCCTCCCTCCCCACCCAACCCCTACCCCACACACACAATCACATTCTACTTAAAATAGTACTATACTGGGTAGCATGATGAAAAGTACTAACATTTACAAGTATATTTTTAATACCTCAAACCATCAATTCATTTTGAGACAGTTAATAATACTGGTGTTTTGACTTGCATATATATGTATATGTATATGTATATGTATATATATTGCATGGGCTTAATTCCAAATCTTAATGTCTGTTTAGTAAGTACCTTCACAATTAAGAGTATCAGTATGAAAATCATCATTATTGTTTCCTGGTTTCTTCCCGTGGGGAGAAAGAGGAAAATTGATACTTTGAAGTAGTGCTCCATTTCCTTGGAGGGGAACAGTCCAAATTGCTGATGAACTGGATTGGTGTAGGGTAATTTTCTAGATGAGCTGATTCCAGGAGCACTGGGTCCAGAGATTTGGGTTCCAGTCCTGCTCTCTGAGCTTAACAAGAAAGTCACTTTATTTCTTTGAATTTTAATTTCTTCTCTAGAAACTACTGTTGTTGTTCTGGCTAAAGATGGAGGTCTCCAGGTCCCAACCATTTTATGATTGGATGTGCACATCAAATAGAGGGTCTCTTGTTAGTGTGGCTGTATTCCAATTGAAGTGGATAGGAGCTGCTGTAAATTCATTAAAGAAATTTAATTTGATTTGTAGTGTTAACAGATTTAAAACAGGCATCATACTCTTGAATTTCAGAAGTAAATATAAATTTTTTTAATTGGAAATATATTTTTAAATCTACTGAGTATCCACTCACAACATGACAAAATGCTATGAATCCTCACTAATTCTTATAGACGGTTATTTGCTTTGACATGTGGCAAAATTTTATATACATATATATATATTTTTCTTAATGTTCAGAATTGACTGTTTCAAGTGACCTATTTCCGTAATTAGCAATAGGCCAAACTTGCATAATGAAATCTCCTAATCTTAAATGATCCAAAGGTGGGAATGTTAAGATCATTTGGTGTGAAAAAGCCCTATTTTATGTTACATTCAGATTCTTAATTACCTTAAATATATGTAAGCATTTTACATAATCTATAGGTATTTTTATTATGTCCTTAACATATAAAAAGAGCTTATGGAATAACTGTTCTAAAGTTGCCTGTTGTCAAGGGAAGTTCTGTCTTAGTAAACACTTCAGTTACTATTAGGAAAGCATTCCTAACTATGTTCTCAGCCTTCATCCATATTTGTGCCATGAAGTTTTCTGTAGACACTTCTTGTGATTGGTTTACAACTTTTTTTTAGAGGTCATAGAGTTGAATGAGTCAATAATTTTGGTGTGTTGGCCCTTTGCAACATCCAACCTTATGAAGGTTCTGTGGGTTGGTTAACCAACCTTAGCATAAAATCTTGCAAAATAGCTACAAAGAGATTTTCATCACACTGTAAAAACTGAGTCAGACATAGATGAGAATGAATGCCATTGTGTTAATACTTTTTCAGGGAACAGTGGTCATGACCCAGTTGTTTAGAACACCGCATGCTCAGAGAACCTCCCAACTTAATTTACGTGGCTTTTATGTTATTTTACTTCATATCTGTAGCCAGGACATGGATTTGTGGAAAACAGCCTAAAGGGTGGCATTTCTAATTATGGTTTTTATTAAAAGTTGTTCTATAAGGTACACCCTGTGTGTTTACAGCCATCCTTCCAAAACCACTCCTCACTTTCCATGCCTTGGGAAACTCTTCCTTGAGAGATACTGAATGAGTTAGAAGAGTCATCATTCTTAGCCCTTCACTGGTTTAGTTCTCCAAAGCAATTTTTTTAAAATCAGAGCATATAAAATTGGAAGGCTCCACAGTCAGCTTTACTATTTTTAGGCATAGACTCCACTGCTGAGCAAAATTGCAAAATAAATTAAAACACTTGACACAAAAAGAATGAAACACTATTTTTAAAAAATTAAAACAGAAGAAGAGATTTCACTCCTGTATTTTTGTTGAATGTGGCTATATGTTTGTTTGTTTTTCTTTTGTTTTTTTGTTTGTTTGTTTGTTTTTGCTTTACTTATATCTGGGGAGCAGTATGGAAAGTGGCACTAAATTTTTCTGAATGTACTGTATCTTTCCTAGCAAAATAGTTATGGGAACTTTCAAATATCCTTTTACATTTAGATTTCTTTTAAAGTATATAAGAATGTATGGCCTCTGTGACATGATTATGTTTTACTTTATGAATTATTTATATGATAAATGTAGCAAAAGCTACATTTTCCATCAAGTTTAGTGGTATGGCTACATCAACCTGTCACTTAATGTCCTCTGACTTTGGGGTAAAGATTTATGTTTGATAACTGGCATGTAATTACTGAATTCAAGTATTTGTACACATTTTTATTTTCAACCTACAACTGTCATCTTTGTGATAGAATGTTCATCAGAATCTTGGTGTTTGGGGAATATACACACACATACCACTTAAAACTACAGATTAACGTAG